AAACAAAAATAGTCGAAATTCAAAATGAATATAAGCAAAAGCTTGGATTGGGTTCGATCAAATGATCATATTACGCAAGATTTCGTTCAAAATTTGCATCCGTAAATATTATAAAATTCTAGGAGAATCACAAAAACTTGCTAATTCTTTAGAGTTTTGCAAAATATTTGTAATTCTTTAAAAGTTTTGCAATTTACTCCCTAGATTAGAATTCTGAACAAGTCAAGTCAAGTTAAAAAAACATTTTAAACTTTAACTTAACTTGGCTTGATTTATCTTTATTATATATAGTAATAGAAAATTATTTTGAATAAATAATAAAATATCAAACCAAAGGAATGATAAAAGAACTTTCTATCAAAATTATACATGAATCTAAAATACAAACCCAAAAGTTGAAATCTTTCGACTTTGGAGATCAAAGTACTGGTTAATTAACCGGGATAAGAGGTTTCTATTGTTAACCAGTTAAAGATTATTATTATCAGGTTAAAATATTTAATGTTTACACTGGCCGAAATTTGATTTCGGGCAGAATTAAAGTTTTTTGTGATTACAAAATTTCGCTAGCTTTGCCCAAATTTATAGTGCCGGCCCGAGTTAAATTTAACTGGTTAATTAGCCGGTTAAGAATTTTTGGGCCGGTTCCAACCTCTAGATCAAAGTCAAAATGAAAGTCAAAATAGTCTAAATCAACATCATGATTAGATTTATAATATATAAAAAATATAATAAAATAAAAAATAAACAGTTCCATTTTTATGAAATAATTACTATTCAATTGTTCATGACTTAAAATGAAACCCTCCATTATTTGGTAATTTGCAATGCAATGTTGTGAAATTTATTGCTTAATTGCATATAAAAATTTGCAATATTGTGATATATATTATTAAATACATATAAAAAATTTGTAATATTAAAAATTTATTACTTATAAATTTATAAATTATTTAATTTATATTATAATACTAATAATACTATAATGATATTATTTTAATAAATAAAAATTAATTTAATATTTTTATTTATATTAATTAAATTATATTATAAATTAATCAATAATTAATTATAAATTAATTATAATAATATATTATAATATTACATTTATTATTATTATAATAATTATAAATTTTAAATCTATAATATATACGACATTGCAAATTATGATAATTTTTAATTAATAATTGTATAAATCTTTTTCTCATAACTAGACAAATTCAAATAAATTATAATTTATTGATTTTGAATCAGAAAATCTTAAAATAATCATAATTGAATTATCAGCTAAAATTAAAATTCAATAAATTAAATAAATATAATATTAGATTAATTTTAGGCTAATAAAATATATTAAAGATTAGGTTTATATTTAAAAATAATTAATTTGAGATTAACTATTTAAAATCAATAAATTATAACTCATTAGATTTATTAATTCATAAGAACTCAAATAGTAGTTATTTCATTTGAAATAGTATATATTGTACATTAGCATATATTTTTTATTTAATTCTTTATATATAAGATTATATAATTACTCAAAGTCAAGATTTTGATTATTTCAACTATTTCAGATATTTGAAATAGATTAATTTCAGTTTTATATAATTAATATGATAAAAAAATCATTATAATATAATTGATTAATAAAACAATATATTTATTGAAAGTGAATTTATATTATATGCATATATTCTTATATTGGTGATATTCCTGCTTTCTCAAAAGTTATGAATATTACTGGCCATAATTTTATTAGAGTTGATTATTCTTTTTCTATCATTTTATTAAAATAATCTTTTTATTAATCTTTTAGAATAATACTTATTATTTTTCAGAATAGATTTCTTATCATTTTTTTGAATAATTTTTATTATTTTATCAGAATGATTCTTTTTATCATACTTTTAAAATAATTCTTCTATTATTTTATTAGAAGATTCTTTCATCATTTCTTTACATGATAAAAATATTATTTTAATAAAAATATATTATTTTTTTAGAATAATATTTCATTTTATTAGATATAATGCTATCTTATTCTAATGAAAAAACTATTATAATAATGAAGAAACTATTTATTTATTTTTTTTAAAAATCATCTTAATCATTTTTTAAAATAATAATTTATCATTCAATTGAAATAATTTTTTTAATTATTTCTTTAAAATAATTCTTTATTATTCTTTTAAATAATTATTTTATCATTCTATTATAAAAGTTGGAACTAGTTAATTAACTGATTAAGATAGATGATAACTTATTAACTAGTTAAAGATTTTTTTAATCAGTTAAAATAGTTAATCTTAATTCAAGCCAAAATTTTAATTTTCAGCTAAAATTAAGAATTTTGTAATTATAAATATTTCGTTAGCTTTGCTTAAATATATAGTTCTAACCTAAGTTATATTTAACTGATTAATTAACCAGTTATAAAATATTTTAACCAATTATTAACTGGATAAAGATTTTAAGTTTCAATTTCTATTTTATTAAAGTGATTTTTTATTATTTTTTTGAATAAATTATTCTATTAGAATATCTTTTTATTATTTAATAATAATGTTATTTGAAAACTATTTTAATATATACTAAAAAATTTAAAAACTTTTTAAAACTTCTAAATAACTTTTTTTAAAATTTTGAAGTTCAATAAAACTTTATTGAATTTAAAAACTTATTAAAAATTTAAGTAATGATAATTATTATAAAAAAATAATTTATTTTTAAAATATTTCAAAATATAAAATTTCTAAAAATATTTTAGGAAAATATTCTTTATTTAAAATGATTTTTTATTATTTATTTAGAATAATATTTTTAGCAAAATCATATTATATCTTTAAATACTAAAAATAAATTAAGTTAAGTCAAATTATAATTATAATTTTTTAACTTGATTTAGCTTAACAAGTTTAGAATAATTAAAGTCTTTTCTTTTAAGATTCTTTAATAAAAGATTTATATTAATATACTATATATTTATAAGTCATTATTACATATGTATTTTTTAATCAAATATATTTATATTTGTTTATTTAATTATAAATTAAACTAATATTTTATCCTAATTTGCTAAATTTATATATTATTTTTTACAAATATTTTAATGATTATCAATTTAATTTAAATGAATAATTATTTATTTATAAAGCTCATAAAGAGATAATTTAAAAAAGAGTAGTTAAGAAAGATAATAAATTAATAATAAATATATTAATGAAATTAAATTCAGTAATAAATTTCTTTTTAGTAATACTAAGTTATTCATTATTTATTATTTTTATTTGAATCATTTGTAATTCTTAATTATTTTAATTATTTGATAAATATTAATTTATTATGAATTTATAAACATTTAAAAGAATATTTTAAAATATAATATTTTTTATAAAAAAATAGTATTTATTAAATAAATTTAATAATAATCAGATAAATTAATAAATAATTTGAATTACTTATTAATCTTATAATTAAAATTTACTAATCATTAAAATAAAATTCAATTATTTAAGAAAATTAAAAAAAAACTATAATAAAATAATTTATATCTTAATTAAAAATTAAATGTATAAAAGTATTAAAGAAAAAGTTAAATAAAAATTAGCTATTATAATCTAATTATTTTTTTAAAAAAAACAAGAAATTATTCAATTTAATTTCAAATAAAATTAAATTAATAAAATTAATTAAATTCTATAAACTTCAATAATTAAAATTCATTAAAAAAAGTTAATTTAAAAAAATTAATTATAATCTATATATATATATATTAAATAAATTTTATTTTAATTAATAAAATATATATATTAAAATTATATAGTATTAATAAAAAAAAAAGAACTATAAATAAATAAAAATTCCAAAAATAAATATTTAATAATTAAATCCAATAAAGAATTTATTTATAAAAAGAATTTATATATTTAAGCAATGCATTTAATTGGTTAGAATTTTAGCATATTGTATTTTTTCTAAAAAAAATAGTTTCTAAATAAAAAATTAGTGTGTGTAGATCGTAAACAATGAATATATATATATAGTTATGGTTTTTTTTTTTTTTTTGAATGGAAACGAATTTTAATCATGAATCAATATCAATTAATCAACGATAAAATTTACTTGCTAAATGACATATCAAGTCAGAAATTTCAATTAAAACCTAAATTTGATAAATGTAATGAATGTAAAAAAAGAAGGAAACCTTCTGAAGAAAATAATAAGTATTGCCGTGCTTGTCATAGAGCTTATGTAAGTTTTACTCAAAGTGGAAACAAAATTATTGACGAATTTTTAAAATATACGCAAATTAAACTTTTTCAAGATTGGTGTAGAATGGAGTTTGTTCAATATGATAGGTTCAAAGATGTAGAAATTATTGGCGAGGGAGGATTTAGTAAAGTTTATAAAGCTACTTGGATCAACGGACCAATTTTAAGAAGCAGATGGAATAACAAAGAACAAAAATATGATCGGGATTCTAATAAACAAGTTGCTCTTAAGAAACTTAATAATTCTAAAAATTTTACTTCTAAGGAGTTAAACGAGGTAAATATTTACTTTATTTTATTTTATTTATTTATTCATTATAACAATCGTAACTAAGTATATAATATTTTTTTCAGCTTAAAATGTATTATCAATTAAGACAAGATAGTATTCATATTAATCGGTATTATGGTATTACGCAAGATCCTATTACCAAAGATTTTGTGATAATTATGGAATTCTATGATTCAGGAGATTTATCCAATTACATAATTAAAACGTTTTATAAAGTTGATTGGAACTACAAGTTAAATCATTTAAATCTCATTGCAATTGGCCTATCAAAAATTCATGGAAAGAATATTATCCATCGAGATTTTCACAGTGGAAACATTTTGATAAAAATAAAAGATCTCGTACAATATAAAAGAACTAAAATAGCCGATTTAGGATTAAGTAAATCTGCTACTGAAGCTGAAGATAATGAAATCTATGGAATTATTCCTTATATGGCCCCAGAGATTCTTCAGGGGCAAAAATATGCAAGTGCTTCAGACATTTATGGTTTTGGTATGATTATGTGGGAATGCATGACAGGTAGAAGACCTTTTTGGGATCGTGCTCATGATACTGATCTGATTATCGATATCTGTGATGGATTACGTCCGCCAATAGATGATACAGTAGCACCTAAAGATTATATTAAGTTAATGAAAGTATGCTGGGATTCTGATATAAGAAAAAGGCCAACGGCTTCAGACATTAAGAATAGTATCGATAGCATTATTAAAACTGAGAAAATAAATCCAACTGATATTGTAAAATCATCAGATATTGGACCTATAACTGCAAGTAATCCGTGTGCTATTTATAAAAGTAGGTCTTTAAGTTGCATGATCAAATCTGCAGAATCCACAAGAAGTTTGAGGAGTCAATCAATTTCTTCGAATTTTGGTAATTTATTTGTTTATTTATGTTTAAATCATTTGTTTAAGTATACTTTTCATTATTAACTTCTAAAAAAAAAAGGCAAACGAAATTTTCAAAATGAACAGTTTCAAAGTAATAGTGGTGTGTTATAAATTTATTCAAGTTATTTATACGCTTCAGAAAATCCAGCCTCTAATCAATTGAATAATTTCTAATTTTATAGATAAAGGAAATAAAAAAATTAAATTATTGGAAGATGAAAATTATGTATCCAAAGAATTGGAATTTGATATTTAAATATGAATTATAATTTTATTGGCGAAGATTAGTATAGTAAACCGGTACCAGAACGGTTCGATGACTATTCCATAATTCGTACCGTACCGTGTACCTCACCAGTAGCATAAATATAACTTATAGCCCCGGTACTATTATTTTGTACAAGTCTCGTGACAAGACGCAAAGCGAGCTTTTTTGATGGGGAAAATTAAAGCGAATTATGTTTGTAGTATATTTAAAAATTAAATTTCAATTGATTTAAAAATTGATTATTGATGAAACAATAATTAAAAAAAATTTTTTTTATTGGAAAAATACATCAGATCACCATATAATACGAATATTCTAAATTCGAAATGTACCGTACTAATTTAAATTTCTTAAACCCGTAAATTCCGGATAATAAAAGATTCTATCAAGGTATACTAATTATTTTTAGATAACTTAAAATACTATTTTTTAAAAAAAATAAATAAATAAATAAATGAACTTTAAAAATGATCGGTGTAACTGATAAAATTTTCCTTATTAATATTTGTGTAACTTTATTTAAATTGACATAATGACAATGTAATCGACGTAATATAGCTTGATGTTTCCTTTTTTGGAGATCGATGATGTTCAAAATATGCATAAAGGCGTTAAATTCAATCAACAACTCCACTGATCATTTATTCTTTGATAAACTTGAATAATGGATAAAAATGAAAGAAATTTGCCCGATTTAAAACTTAAAGAAGCGAAATTAAAATTAACAAATGTTTGCGAATTATTTTCAAGAGATCTAGACAAATTGTCAGCTGGTTGTAAGGACATGGAAACAATAGATATCATATTTCGTGCACATTTACCTAAGATTCGTTATGGGGAACCTGTTATAGTTGGTAGTATAAAGGAACTTGGTAATTGGACTGAACCTAAAATTAAACTTAAACAATACAATACTCGTATTTGGAAATATACATCTTATTGGTATTCAGAGCCTATTCGTATCCCAATCGAAAGATTTAAAGAGGATATTAAATATAAGTACGCAATATATTTATACAACTTAAATTATGAAGGATATGGCGCGAAGGACAATCGTTTGCTAGGTATACATTATAATACGTTCGATATTTGGAAAAGTCATCTAGCTTATAGCATTAATCAAGTCACCGATTATATGTTCTTGGATGTCATTTATGAATCCGTAACGTCAGAAAACATCAAGGGTATTATTTTAGAATATGATCGTATCCTAAAACAGCATCACGACTTAACTTTATCCGTAACGAATATTCAATTTATTATCAATCGTGTATCGGATACTAGTATTGGTAAACGTCTTTTCTTATGCTTTCTTTTAGGACATTGTCCTAATACTTACGGAAGGATTGAATTGCCAAGAGATTTTCAATCTGTTCCCTTGCTTCAAGCTTTCTTCACGGTACATTCGAACACATTACCAACTAATAGTTGGCAGGTTATGTTTAAAGGAATTGAACATTTAATTCATCACAATATTAATAATGGATTATCCGAATGGCTCAAGATCTTCACCATTGCACGAGAAATTGATCCTCAATATAAGTTCATCGATACAATAACTTTCAATAAATGTAATGATGACAAATATATCGAAAATAGTTTTGAAATCATATTGTCGCATGAATTTAATGAAAGTACTCGTATGAAAATTATCAAGGTATTTCTGTATTTGTATTAATTATTAGTTGATCATCAATTAATTTTTCATTTTATAAAAAATATTTTAGTGGTTGATGAGTCAATGCAAAAACTTGAAAATTTTATCGATGGTTTGGAAATCTTCAGATAAAGTTGACAAGCAATGTCTGGTAGAAAGGATTGAAAAAATTATGTTTAAAGATGACCCTGTTGATTTATATAAAAATTATTCCGAGCTTCCTGATGACATTAGAGAGATAGTTTCTAGGAAAAGAGTAAATTTATTAACTAAAGATCGTCATGCTATTTGGGATTGTTCCACATCCCAATCGACTTTTGATCTTTTAAATTCTGTACGCTTACGCTGGTCAAAAGATGAATATATTGTCGTTTTGGAAAAATTATCGGATTTAGAAGACTATCAGCTATTAAGCACATTTCCATCATTACTTAAAAATTGGATTGATATGTCTAATGTTATTAATGATAAAATAGCTAAAATATGTATTAAATGGTACAAAAAGCTCATGGATAGAATGGATCAAATGTCACATGCACCATCAAATACAACGGTTCATAAAGGAGAATACGTGACCGCAGTTTTAGAGAAATTGTCAAACATCTGTTCATTAGTTAATAAACAATCTATATTGGATGAATTAATGGAAATAACGTTCAATCATATTAAACGATCTTCAGAAGAATCAATATTTTCTATCACAACCAATATTGTAAAATTTGGTTCAGTAGCGGTACTTGTATTTACAAAAGTTATTAAAGAAAAAATAGATTCAATGGAACTAGTTCGCGGTAAACCTTTATTAAAGAAAATGCAAGTTATTTGTGGTTGTGTTGATAAAAGTCTGGCGATTCCAAATGAGTAAGTGATCAATCAAGTATATATCCATTCATATTAATTATATTTAATCAATTTATATATATATATATTTCTATTAGACTTTGTGAAACAATTTTGTTGAACGTCATGTCACGTTTGCAAAAAATTTCTTTAAATACTTATTCAGAATTATCTTTGCCCGAGTCCGCTAAATTCTGGATTATTATTCTACGAGCGTCTGGTAGTACAAAAAGGTTGCATTCTCATCAACTTGTTCGAGAAACTAAAACAACCATTCTTGAGTTAACTGAAATGATGAAAAAAAGTTCTATTAATATCCAACTACTTCAGAATTTGTTTAATCTTGATAATGATACCCTTTATGCTTATTTAAATTTTAGTGGTGAAGTCATTACCAAAGATATATTGGTAAAGGTTCGTCAGATCTGTGGTGGTTATGAACAAAGGTTGAAAAAACTTTACGATTTTTATAAAAGATTTTGTCCGTTACAAGAAACCATAGATGTGCAAAATTATCTTGATGAGTTAAAAGAACGAATCAAGCAACTGAATAAAATCTCCCTAAAAGAAACCTTATAAGAAGTCCATTGGAGCCTTCATAAAGGAATTGTATCAATAGCAGAGAGTACATATGAATTAAAAAAATCTCAAACATTTTATAATGTTTTTCAACAACGTTTAAATGAAGAATCTAAAGAAAATTCTGATATAAATGTTGAATTTATAGCACAATCGTTAATGAAAGATGTTTTAAAGGTATACACTGCTAGGTGTAAGCAATATGATAAATGGGAAAATCTCAAATGTTTAGAGGAAGTCCCATTTTGGTGTGATGTTTCTGATTTTGATGATGAGCTAAAGTTAATGGAAAAATATGGCAATATTTGTATCAATAAAAACAAACCGTTCATGGTGACCATATGTCATCTATCCAGAAATAGGCATTGGGAAGAACGTACAGAAAACTTATCCAAGATTACTAAGATTTTCAAAGTCAAAGATGACTGGTTAAACAATTTGTTTAATCACGAAAATTTAGGTACATTTAGTAACTCGGTTGAAATTATAAATCAAAAATTTTCCAAATTCAATGAGAACAGTTGGTATTTTATCAAAGAATTGTCACAATCTGAAGAATTCTTGAATTCTTAAAAGACAATATGGCTGACGTCGATTTGAGACGGTTAATGAATGATGTCGATGAGCAACTCAGATGCAAATGAGCAATTTCTTCACTTATTGAAGTCAAGCAATTTTTGAATCCATTTATGAATGATCACGATTTAACTATGGATACATTCTTGTAAGAATTCAATGATATAAACCCTTCCTTAGCAAGTAAATTGTCATTATGTAATAGTAATGACAAAAAATATTTACCGACGGCGCGTTTTTTGGTGCATGAAAATTTATGATGTGATTAGGAAATTTCAGTTTTATGGTTTAAACGTATACGGAAATTTACTATCCAAATAAACTAAGTAAATTACTATAATTAAATAAATTACTTTTAATTTGATCTAGCATTAAAACTTTTATTTTTGAATAATACTATAAATTTCTTCTTCAAAAAATCTAGAGTTGGCTGATACAAAGAAAAACAAATATTTATTTTTTCTTAATTGTCTTTTGACTCATGAATAATATTTGTATTCAAGGACAACAAAAATTAGTTTGTATAACAAATTAAAATGTTTTTTAAATTTCTGCGAAATAAAAATGAAGAGATGTAGTTGAGAAAATTTGATTACATCTATTTTTCGCCTAATTAAGATGTCTATAGTACATGAATTCAGTTTTATTTTTTATTTTTATATATTCTACGAGATGATGAAATAGTTTGGTTTATTTTTTAATCTAATCCGGAATGAATGAAGAAGCTTCTGGAAAAATTAATTTTTAATTTTTTGTTAAACGATGTTTACTAAAATTTTTCTTTGCTTATATGTAAATTCTAATTTTCATCATATGGAAGGTTTGCTAGGAAAATGGGACTCTAAGCATCTTTTATTAAAATTTTAATTTTTATTGCATTTTAATTTTTGATAATATTAGATTCAAATGCAATAAAAATTAAAATTTTAATAAAAAATGCTCAGAGCCCCATTTTCCTAACAAACCTCCCATATATAGTATTATGCATAATAATTAATAAAATATAAAAAAAAAAATTGAAGAAAAGTGCTTTTTGTATGAGTCAATAATATATTTATTTTAAAGTTCTTTTAATGCATTGTTTGTGGTTATTCACAATTTTAGTATTAATAAATCAATCAATAAATATTATATTAAAAAATAAAAAATAAAAGAATAAAAATCTCAACCGTATTTATCAAAATTAAAAAAAAAAGTTTTGGGAAATGCGAAAATTTCCTTTTAATTAATATCCGACATAACAACCAATTCCAAAACCAAAGTCGATCTTTACATTTGAAAGTAAATATGGAAAAAAAAGTTGTATACAAAACTTATCCCTTAAATAGTAATGATTTTATTAAAAATAAATTATAAAATTTATTATAAATGTATTATTTTTAAATAAAATTTCATTTTAATAATTAAACTAGAAGTTGCGATATGCGAGGAACTTCATTCCCCATTAAGCGTCGGATTAAATATCTTATGTTAAATAAATTTATATTATAATCAATAATATTTGTATATAAATATATAGTTTATTGTATTTGTAAAGTAATTTAATAAATTTTCAAATATAGAAGTTATTTAATAAACATTTTATTAGATTAATATTTTTATTAAAAAAATAATTATTTAAATATTTACCTTATTCACAAAAGTAAAAAAATATTTTATTTTTATTCTAATCGTTCATATTCTTTAAGCATTGATTTGTTTATAATAAATGCTATAGAATGTAATAAAGCGATATGCACTTTTGATCAATCAGAGCATCTGCTTAATGCAATATAAGTTTGAATAGCAGAAAAAATTTTTTGATAGGAAATGACGTTCCTGACTTAGTGGTTAAACTACGAGTCTCCTATTAAGCTAAAGTTTCATTATACAGTGATACACAGTGATAGGTTATTAGTTCAGGTATCAGCCAATATATAAAACTAGATAATTTTTATAAGAATTTCATATATACTGAATATGATAGGCATATGTACTCATATGCGTATAAATCTGGTTAATTGATTTGTCGATTAACATTAATTATGTCTAAATACTGCATAGCGTTAAAACATATACACCAACCTGCCAAAAGTGCCTAGGCAGCTCTAAAACATGATCTTTAAACTACATTATCTTAACAACCAGTGATTGAAATTTTAATGATATGTGATTTATTTGAATCGCCATATTATGATACATCTAATCGCACTATTTTCATGTCATTTGCATCGATAAATAAAATGTTAATTGCAAATTTCTCTAAACAGTAAAATGCCAATAACTTCTCATCCATTAATGAAAAAGACCTGCAATTCATAAATAAGATGTGAATCGATGAGACAATTCCAATGAATCATAGATCATGAAAATCCAATTACTGGTTATTGAAACGTCGTGATATTTGTACATGTAAAAATTGATGAAATTGTTCAAAATTGTAATTTTCAGCAAGAATTTAATTCACATTATCTCAGTAACCAGTAATTAGATTTTAATGATCTATGATTTATTAGAATCGTCTTATTGAGAAACATCTATTTTTATAAAATTTACGTCATTTGCCTTAATATATATGGCAGTATTCACAAAAGTCTCCAAACAATTAAATCGCAATATCTTTTCGCCTATTGATGCAAATGACATGAAATTCTTGAATTAGCTGTGACTCAATGAGATAATTCCAAAGAATCAAAGATCTTGAAAATTCAATAACTGGTTATTAAATCATTATGATATTTGTACATGCAACAATTAATAAAATTGTAATTTTTGGCAAAATGTTAAATGGCATTATCATGAGAACGAGTGATTTGATTTTCACAATATATAATTCATTGGAATCGCTACATCAAGACGCAGCTAAGCCATGAATTTCATGTCCTTCGCATCAATAGGCGAATAAATATTGGCATTTTATTGATTAAAGACTTTTGCAAATACCATCCTATTCATTAATGCAAATTACATGAAAATATTGCAATTAGATGCATTTCGACAAGACGATTTCAATGAATTATTGATCATAAAAATCCAATTACTGGTTATTGATATAATGCAATTATAAGTTTTCCAAAATTTTCATTATTATTTTTAAGACATTTTGATATTGCATTTTCTAGCTCTTTGTTGTTGAATTTTATGGCTTTTTATCATTATATTTTATAGCTTTTGTTATTGAATTTTATGGCTTTTATTATTATATTATGTGGCTTTTTGTTATTAAATTTG